TTCAGCTTAGAAAACCACTGCCTTAGTTAAAAAGTCTCCAAAACGTACTTCACTGACTTGAATGTGTTTCCACAGATGGATGAAAGTGAAGAAGGTGAAGATCCATTTGAAGCACCAATCGCCAAGCCGTCAGATGCACAAGAAAGTTCAGCATCGCCTGCAACATTAACTAGGGAACCAGAAACTCAATCTGAGCTTAACCAAAACGGCCTACAGGAAGCACCAGAAGCTGTTTGTCCCTCACAGTCACCCGAGGAAGAGCGTCCAGGTCCTAGATCCACAGCTGTCCCTGCATCTTCATCCCACGTCTTCATCCTCGACTCCGAGTCACAGGACAAACACGACAGCCAAACGAGAGGAACTCCAGAGGAAACTCCCTCCAAACACTTGGTAGAACATGTCGAGAACTTGATGACAAAGACCAAGAAAGATCTGGTTGAGGTGACCAAGGCACTGTGGAAAGCCAGTGGTGACTTAGCAAGAGCCCAGGCGTATCTGCAAGACGGCTACGACCATGAGATTCACGGGCCTGTTTGGACCCATCTGGACGATGAGATCCTCCTGCTGGCTGATCCGTATGAACTCGAGCAGCTTCAATCCAAATACGGAGAGGAAGAAGTGACCAGGAGAAGAGACTTCCTCACGGCTGGCATTAACTGAGAGGATTTGTTTGGTTCAATGGGTGCTTTCTGAAACCAGCAGCTAAACTAGACGCAACTAGTTATTGTTTTCACCCAGTTTTGTATTCTTAGTTTGGTAAAATTCTGATTTATGTTGATAAATTTATTAAATAATTTTGCCAATCATTACATTGATAAATGTGTATTAAAGTATTTTTTCTAACTGATGGCGTATCATTGTGCTAAATTATCGAATGAGTGTTGCTATGCATTCATATTTACCACACACTTCCCCTGTTGAAAAAACCAGCATATGCTGGTTAGGTATGTTTTGACTCTGGGATGCTGGTTTGTGCTGGTCCTTTGCTGGTTTAAGCTGGTCCTTTGCTGGTTTATGCTGGTCCTTTGCCAGCACATGACCAGCATAAACCAGCAAAAGGACCAGCTTAAACCAGCAAAGGACCAGTTTAAACCAGCATCCCAGCGTCAAAACATACCTAATTACAGTTATGACACTGAAGCGCTCAGTTCTTACCATTCTAGGTATTGTAGCTAACGTTTTAGATATGATACGCCCAAATGCCATAATTTTCTATAACATTTTATTGTGCTTTTTAAATGTAATGGTTATTTAAGGACTGAGGCGTTAATTATTAATGTCCAGAATGCTGCTGAAGAGTCATCAACAACTGTTGCTTTTCTCAGCGCTGTTCACGGTGGCCCAATCACTGCCGTTTGTGCTTACTAGGATGCAATCCTAATTTAATCAGATGCAGAGTGAATAGATTCATATTAATAGATTTAACTTAATATAAATCCGTTTTTTTTAGCCCTCTAACGTCCCCTATAGGAATAACTTTTTGGAAAAACATTTGCCACCCAGTGGTCTTTTATGGATTTTATGGTTCGCATTCGTTCATGTCTAAACATATTTTGGCCTAAAACTCGCCCCATAGCCGTGAATCCTTATGTGTTAAAAGAGTCACACAACTAAATTCCTGCAGAGGGCTCTTCATGGCTCATAATGCCTTTAATCGTATTCAAATCCTTTTGTGTTAAATAATAATTTTGTATATTGAATTGTATAAACATTAGAATCGGTTGATTCCAAATAGTGACACTTGATGTATAAAATACACACCCGCTTGTGAAGCGACGTTGTAAGCAAAACGTCTCTGATTGGTGCATCCCAAAAAGAGATGAGAAAAGTAACAAAAAACACGCCGTCTCTGAAATACTTGAAACTGCGTCCCGGACAATAATTTACACATAAATAACGACAGCAGAGAATACAAATAATGCTGAGATAAAATCAAACAGAGAAAATATAAAATTAGAATTTTAAAAATATAAATCCATCGTAACTGACCAATGAGAGACACTCTCCGGGCCACCAAGCCCCGCCCATTTTATCACACAGTTCATTCACGGTCATCCGACCGCTTCTTGTATTTCTATGCTTAAAGGCAGTGACTGTAGACACATTTAAAGAGGAGAGCCCAACAACAGCAATCTGCTGATCACAAACAAACACAACACACCAAACCAGTGAGTACTGCAGGAGAAATTAACCAAACGACAAGCGTTAACGTCGCTTTATCGGTGTATGTTGTATTTGACATGTTATCGTAGCAGCTCTGGCTGTCATATGTGTTCAACACGGAGGCTGAAACACATTAAATATGGGTTTTCTTGCGCATATGCTGGGCATTTTAGACCCCCGACAGTCACTAAATGATATTTGAACACATTAAACACGGCCTATGTTAGCGGGAGAGTGGCTAAAGAGAGAGTATGTTTATGTTATGTGTATGTTTGTATATGTTTGCTCAGATAACAGCATGTAAACATTGAAACTACAAGTTATTTGCAGGTTTCACTGTAGTTTGAGACTGTTGTCAAAATAATTTCTAGTCTACTAGTCAGCATTTTATGTAAGTTAGCCTATCTGTATTCTTTATCCTATTCTTTATCCTGTTGTTATTAGACTAGAGGATGCTATATGTAATGCTATAAATGTTTACTATAGTTAATTATGATTTTATAATTGATCTGTCTAGTAGCAGTATGAGCTCAAAGGGTGGCACTGTCCTGTCCCGACGCAGCTATCGCCTGGCATCCGACACAGACAAACCCAAAGTCACAGGTGTGTCCTTATAAAGAGATTTTATTGATGTAAACCCACTGTAAATGGATTAATCATCAAATGTACATATCTTTTTTAGGAATTGTGAATGAGAAGCTACTGAGCGACTATCTGCACCATGTGTTTCCTGCCTCCAGTAAGACGGGACCGGCATCAGCGGCGCACAGGTTAGTGGATTACCCAAGAGTCCTCCTTGTTTTGGGGTCTTTTTGGGTTGACCTTTTGTATGTAGAATGTTCCTTTGCGGGGGCGTTTGCCTTGTATGCACAAACATACACATAAGCACATGCACACACTACCTTCCGGTCAGGAGTTTGAAAAATAATTTATATTTCTTAAAGTTTTTGAAAGAAGTCTCTTCTGCTCACCGAGGCTGCATTTATTTGATCAACAATACAGTAAAAACAGCAATGCTGTGAAGCAGGTTAACATGTAAATATATTGTAAAACGTCATTTATTCCTGTGATCAAAGCTGATTTCCAGCATCATTACTCCAGTCTTCAGTGTCACAGTGTCTCATCAATATGCTGATTTGCTACTCAGTTATTCTCAAATATTATTGATGCTCAATTATTAGTAATGGCTCTTATGTTATGTTATGTCAGTGTTGAAATTATCACTATTTTCATGATAACCGTGATGATTTTTATTCCCCCCTCAGGATTATTAATGCATAGAAAGTTCAAAAGAACAGCGTTTATTTGAAACCGAAATCTTTTGTAACATTATAAAAGTCTGTACTGTCACTTTTGAACAATTTCATACATCCTTGCTGAATATCGCATTATTTAATTGATTTATTTATTTATGTTTTTTAAAATCTTACTCGCCCCAAACATTTGAATGGTAGTTTTCACAAAAAATGTGACCCTGGACCACAAAACCAGTCATAAGGGAATTTTTTTTTAAATTGAGATTTATACATCATCTAAAGTAAAAGCAGAATAAATAAGCTTTCCATTGGTGTATGGTTTGTTCGGACAATATTTGGCTGAGATACAACTATTTAGAAATCTGGAATCTGAGGGTGCGAAAAAAAATTGAAATTCTGAGAAAATCTCCTTTTAAAGTTCTCCACATGAAGTTCTTAGCAATGCATATTACTAATCAAAAATTAAGTTTTAATATATTTACGGTAGGAAATTTACAAAATATCTTCATGGAACATGATCTTTACTTGTTTTCAACCCAACTTTGGGTCAAATATGGACTAACCCAACCGTTGGGTTAAATTTTTACATTGAATTTTTAACCCAAAAGTTGGGTTAGTCCATATTTGACCCAAAGTTGGGTTGAAAACAACCCAGCATTTTTTTAGAGTGTAATGATTTTTGGCATAAAAGAAAAATCAATAATTTTGACCCATACAATGTGTTTTTGGCTATTGCTACAAATATACCCCCAGCGACTTAAGACTGCTTTTGTGCTCCAGGCTCACAAATATTAAGTTCACAAAACTGTTTTCCACAGCAAATTGCTTTTGATTATATGTGTAATTAATCATATGTGTTTTTGTATATTTTGTTTTATTTAACAATTTCACAATATTATTAATCACATTTTTAGATCATTAGTCATCAAATCCTCTGTAAATATTGCTTGCCAATTTAATCTTAAGCTCTCTTACATTTCAAGTCATTTTAAGGTGTTTTTGAAATGATGGTGTGTGAGTGAATGAGTGGATTACTGTTTTCCCTGCCTATAAATCAACCATTTGACTCATTCATGCATATTTTAAACAATTTGTGAGTATTTTAGGGCTGTGATCCTTAAATCGAGTCTATTAATGTCACCTCTGTGTACTCGTTTTAAATATGCCTGACAAGATTTTTGGTATATTGAGAAAAGTAGCTATTGTTACACTGAATGGCTGTACTTTTATTGTTTTAATTCTTGAAAACCCATTTTTGTCTTCGGCCTTTACATATTATTTGATGTCATATTTAGTTTTGAATTGTGAATTCATTTTTTCCCCTGCATGTTTTTGAAGCATGATCTGCTTCATGTTAATCAAGTGCAGCTGGTTATAGGAGGAGGGGCTTCTTGTTCTAGAGGGCATCTGATTGGACAGAAATCTGTGCAGGGCAGGATGAGTCATCAGTATTTTTTACTCTGTTGAAGTATAACTTATTCGGCGGATCGTAACAAATCATGAAGAAATGAAGTTT